TTCCCACTCACATTCTCTCCTCTCTCTTTCTAACCTAATACATAAAAAAAATTCATAAAGTACAGTGGACGTGTTCAATAAATAATAATATAAAAAATGCTGTAACACACGCATGCCTCCCCCCCGCGAGCAAACTCTCCCCCTATCCGCTCCCATGCACATGGTGGTGGATGATTCCCAGGGAGTCGAGGATTATACTCTCTAAAAGTATGGTAATAAAGTAAATAAAAGTGTGGTGAAGGCCGAGATTTATTTCATGGATCCAGAAATATTGAAAATCTAGAAATATTGATTAGAAAACATGTCGGGTTCGATTGGCTGCAGCTCACACTACCATCTGCATTGCAAAAAATTCAGAACGGGAATACTTGCGGTTTTTAACTTTGTAGTAATGATTTAGATATGCAATTTATAGAATAAACAAGTTTTCATGAATGAATGTATTTTGATATTATGAATTTTAACTTCATTTCACATTTAAATGGCTCTACAGGTCATATAACTCGTCTCTGAATGTGTATTTTTCTCTTTGATAAAGGCTGACAGGAATAAGTTTTTGCTAGAAATATTCAATTAGTAAGTATTATCTGAACTTCGAAAGAAAATAATCATGCACTTTCAATTTGTTTAGGTTAATTTTTTATTCATAATTGCTTCCTATCGATCTTAGCAACAAACTAAAACTTTTTTAATATTTATTTTTCTTTTCTGAGCTCGATGAGTCGGAAAATGTGCCAGCGAGAAGGCATATGAGAGAGGTATTATCGTCTTTTCTTCGCAATTTAAGTGTTTTCTTGAATAACGGAAAAAATATCAAGTCTTGTTGAAAAAGATCATCCATGGAATGCATCAAGTAGCTTTATTCTGATTCTTAACAAAAATTCTTAATTTAAGAATTATTTCTGATTTTTGCCTCAAAATCACTTTTAAAAGCTACACAGCGTGGAAAACCCCCATCATAAATATAAGTGGTATTCTTACCATACATTTTAGATTCTTGGAGCCAATTAATTATTGCAGAACCCTGGCCCGATTCAAAAATACCAATCAAAATTGTTTTTTTATGGTAAAAAAAAATAGTAAATGGTGCACTTCGGAAAAAAATATTATCTTTAATGTTTTATCGTATGTTCTTAAAACTTTTGCGAGACTCAATTTATATGCTTTTATGATAAAATTATTAATTAATATTGTTATATCGACGCATTTTTCATGGAAGAGTATTCGTAATTTTAGTTTAGCATTTGTTGAAATGATATTGCAAAGTAGGGCATTTAGGAAAATAGAAATTATGGTAACGTTTATAAAAATGTTTTCTTTTTTCCAATATCTTCTTCTTATGTGTTACCCACCTAAGCATCGAAACACCCTTCTGCCAACTCTGATATCTATTCAATTTTAAATGATAATTTTTCAAAAGCTGTTTATACGAAATATTATATTTAAAATAGGATGCATCCCACTGCATTATTAACAAAAATTAACATTCTTTTGTTTAATATGTGATATTTTATAAAACAAGAATCAGATCTCTAGATTAACCGTTTAAACATACCTCTGTTTTTCTAATCTAAATATTTTATTTACCTGAACATAGCCGTAATATAATGCTAGGTATTAAATCAAAGTGCTTTTATATCCTTTATTTAAGTTAGATTTATTTCTTTAAATTCTTGTTTAATTTTTTTTATTACCTTTTATGGATTATGGTCAGTCAATTTTATGAATGGCACTATAACTAGTGTTGCACAAATGCGTGACCGAGACGATTCTTGGTCTTGCAAACTCAGTTTTGGCTATGGTCTTGGTCTTGCTCAAGAGTCTTGCAGTTACTTATTAGCTTATTACTATTGAGATATTACTGAATTTTTTTAGATAGGAGAAATCTAACTAATCCGGAATGAAACATTAGATGAGTTAAATGCAAAAGTATATTGGTTATACCAATTATTAACATATAGTAACTAAGATTGCCAAGTATTAGTAACTATATTGCCTTAATTTTTATTTTAAAAAATCGTTGTTTTTTTACCAGTCCTGGTCTTGGTCTTGCAAGAGTTAGGCGGCCGTGGTCTTGGTCTCGCAAAGTGCAAGACAAACCGATTTTGGGCAACGCTAACTATAACAGTAACCAACTTTGAATATTAAATATAACATTAATATTGCATTTGTTGGATTATTTTAGATTTATCTCAAGTGATTATGTGAAATAAAATTTATCGAAAATCTCATCTTCCGGAATTTTCATTGGATTGAAAAAACATAAAATTGGTATCACATTTTTAGGAAACACTACGGCTAATGATACAATTTTATTTCTAGAAAGAATAAATTTATGTATTTGAACAAAGTTTTTTAAATATAATTGGAAATTTACTAAAAACAAGTTAATAAATAATTTTTACGTTCCACGATCAAGCAAATAAAAACCAAAAGATGGTTTATGAAAGAAAATAATAGCTTGGTTGCTTGATTATACAGCACATGAGATTACCGCTTATGTCCATCGTTCGGTTATTTACCGGTACAATACTGATAATGTGTTTTACAGCGACTAAACAACATTCACTTGTTAAATACAAAGCCATGTTTGAACGATGGTTTACTGATTCTCTGCTTTAACAGTTATGTATACATCCGGTCATTGGTAGATTGGGACTAAATCTGAAGACTTATAGTCACTATTACAATCAAATTTCAAAATTTTAACTTTTGTCTTTTGCCTCAATTCGCTATAGATATTATCTACGGAGGAAGCCGAATCATATATTGCCACTAGTCATATGACTTGTTGCCACTGCATGGCTCTACCATGTTGTCCATCTCCGTCGAAGGATTTCCAGTAATTCCAATAACAGTACCTGCTTGATACTATATTCATTAGTTACGGGTGTCCAAGACCGCATTAGCGGATCCAGGATTTAATTTTGGGGGGCTTCAGCCCGAAACCTTTTTTTTTCTTAAAAATAACGATAATTACTTTGGAAAAACAGAAAGAAACTAACTACCTATATGAAATGGTGTTTAAGTTATTCCTTAAGTACCTTTAGATGTAATTACACGAACAATAATACTTTAAGAGGTATTTTTAAAAAAATTTTCCTATAAAACATGGTTATATTTTTCCATTTTGGGCGGGCTTCAGCCCGAAAGCCCCCCCGTAGATCCGCCCTTGCAAGACCGTGATTAATGTGATGCGTGACTTTCGAGACTTCTCCTGCATGTAACGTTTTGTTCAGTCCACAGGAATTTCAAGTCTATTATCAGTCTATAAAATTTGCTTTTGGGTTCATGAAACTGGGATGCATAAGACCTTAAAGGTTTTAATGAATAATGGTTAAATATTATGAATGAAGGTTTTGAATAATAGTAACTGTTATGTTCCAATTAATATTTAATTTGGCTGTCTTTGTATTATGGAGTATAAGAGTCTTTGCAATATTCTTTGTTTTGTTTCTTTTCAAGCCAATTATTCTTTCAGGTTGATTGCCTCAATTTATAGTTGGGTGTTTTGTGTAAATATATTATATAGAAATTTGTCGCAATTTAGTTATATTTTCGAAATTTGTGTGTTGTACTAGTTCAAATCCTGTTGGGCACGGATCAATTTTTTAAATTGCCTTGTATATGTTTTGTAATATTTTGTTAAATGTGACTTATATAGGCATTGATATATATTTAAATAGTTTCTGATAATAATTATATAAATATTCAACATTTTCCATGTAACTTATGTCACGTTTCTTCGACAGGAGTGTATAACTTCGTATATATATTATTTTTTTATTCATATACATTTTTAGAACAACAATTAATTGTTTATACTTCCTATTCGATATTATATCAGTTGTTCGTACTACCAGATTAAAAAACATCACATCTCATGATGATTAAAATTTGATTTTTAAACGCAAAACAAAACAACAACAAAAAGAAAACAACCAAACATATTTAGTTAAACTTGGATAAAAGCCTGATGTATGTAATGTAACGTATGTATGTAACCTGACACGCAAAAGGAAAAAAAATATATTTAAAAAGATAAATTAAACATACTATTTTGTGATGTATCGGAAGAAAACAATGCTAATATAAAAAACTGTAAAATTATTTAAACATTAAAATAAAATATGTAATGTACAACTAACTGTATTATGGTTTTGAAAATGGAGGACTTATTCTTAACGTCAAGTAAGAATTGTTATGAAGGTACTTACTTATCTTCTAAAACTTAATAATATAAGATAGTATATTATAAACTAAATACAATCTTAATAATATAAGAAAAAATAATGTCGATGTATTGGAAAAAGTTAGTAAGTACATTTTTGATGAATTCCGGTTTTATTTATCGATTTCAGAATGTGTGTATCAAAATGACGCAGATTCTTTTATGTATCAAAAGCCTTTATGTCAAAACTCCAAGCGTGTGAACATTTTTATGTTCTCTTTTCACAGAGAGAAAATTGATCAAAGTACACAATGATTTGATTTTATGTAATGTCACCTAATGACTTTTTGGAATAAACCCACGATATATATTTTTATTAATTGAATTTTAATAATTTTCGAATTATATAGTTTATTTGAGTTATAAAAAATATTCTTTTGATAACTCATGTAAAATACGATGTTTGGCAACTCCTCTACACTGAATTATTTCAGCCACATCAGGAAGGATTTAGTCAATTGATGTTAATAGTGAATGTATTCTAATCCTCTGTGTAACTCCAAATTTTCTCAGATGTTTAGATTTTTGTATTTGATAATACATTAATTCATAATGTAATATCCTGATACTTATAATTTTATTCGTTATAAATATAAAAATATTTACATTTTTAAATATTATAGAAATCAATGAAAGTTTCCAGTAAATTTTGATAACTTCCAATTTTTTGTTTTAGTTTATATGATGTTTCAATATAAAAGGGTATTTGAAATTGATGAACATTTTCTTCACACAAACAGTTTTTGGTTCAGAAATGGAAAAAATAAATAATAAAAACCACTATTTAATTTTGTATACAAAAATCAGAACGTTTTATTTCTAATAATATTAATTATAATAAGTAAGGAATTAAATACAATTGAGATACACAGTGTTGACCACTAAGTGTTTTGAGGTGTGTTGGGAAGTGAGGCGATGAGATGTTAGGACACTAGGACACAGATCAGCCTGGGTTCCCGACCTCGCTAGGAGACGTCCCGTTAGTGGGACCTCTCATAGGGCAGGAAGGGAACAGCAACTTTCCCCTCTTTTTTAAATTAATTTAAACTTTATCACTGTCCTCTACTTCAGACCTTGGGTTTCTTCTCGTCCTTCTTGATCAGTTCGTCTTTCTTCAGATCCGTCGGCTTCTTCTCATCCTTGACGCCCTTAGCTGCTTCACGCCTCGACCTCTTTTCGGTCACTGCTTCTGTCTTCTCTGCTACTTTTGCTTCATCAGCTTTGGGCTGTTCCTCGCTGGATGCTTGAATATTTTCCTTCTTCGGGGCTTCTTCTTTCTTCTCTTCCACAGGCTTGGCTGCTGACTGTTCAGCGGCTGCCAGAGGAGGGATGACCGGGGCAGCGGGTTCGTTGACAGCTTCGGCCTTCACTGCCTCCTTGGCAGGCTCGACAAGCTTGGCTACCTGCTCGGCCTGGGGCTGGTCCTTCTTGGCCTCTGCGGGAGCGGCCTTGACCGGGGCGGGTGCCTCGGCGGCCTCTACCTTGGCTGGTTCCTCCTTCTTCAGGTCGGCAGCAGGGGCTTCGGCAGCAGCTTTGGCTTCCTCCTTTACTGCAGCTGGTGCTTCCGCTTTCTGTTCAGATACGTTGGTTGGTTGAGGGGCAACGGTTTCCTTTTCGTCCTTCTTGGCCTCCTCGGCAGGCTTGGGCTCCTGGGCTACTTGGGCTGCGCTGACCTCTTCTGCTTTGGCGGGCTTGGCGTCGGCTTGCGGTTCGACGGCGGCGGCGGCTTGGGCTACAGCAGGGGTCTCAGCCGGGGCCGCTTGCAGTTGCGCAGGCTGCGCTGGCTGTTGTGCGGGCTGTGCCTCCTTGACCGCCTCGGCCTGCTGTGGCTTGGCATCCTCTTTGGCAGGCTGTGCTTCCTCCTGCTTGGCGGGCTTGGCTTCCTCCTTCGGCACCTCCGCTTTGACCTCCTCCGCTGGCTTCTTCTCAGGTACCGCTGCTACAACCTCTGCGGGTTTGGCTTCAACGGGCTTGGCCTCCTCCTTGCTTGCCACATTCGCGGCATCGGCGTTCACAACTGGAGCGCTAGGTTTGGGTTCAACAACCTCCACCGGCTTTGCATATGCCATAACCAGGCAACATCCCAATAACAGAACTGCTTTCATCTGGAATCAATGATATTTATTGTCAGTATATTTCATTTGTTGGTGTATGGAATATTAAATTATGCGCTATAGCAAAATATAATTATAATTAAGTAATCAATGAGAAGTCATGATTAATTCTCTCATCTTTATTCAAATCAATTGAACTCCTTAGATTATGAGCCATTTAAAAAAAAATCGATCTTTTATCATTAAACCAGAAATGGAATAAATTATTACTTTCTCTCAGAGCTAAGCATTGATTAAAAGAGGAATGTTTGCTGATAGGAAATGGGCTTTGGAAAAGAGAAAGCCTCGTTACAGGTTAGAAGATGAACTTGAAAAAGTGAGAGTATTAGCGGATAAAGAACTGCCAGTTGGTTGAATATTTACTAGCTTTCAATCATAGTCTAACTTTGTATTCCTACTTAACTTCACCGATTCTTCAAGGTTTAATTTATATTCTAATTTAACATTAGTTTTAGTTTTGTTTTTATGTTTTTTTCGAAACGTTTTACTTTAAAACTTTCTCTTCATTTCATTCATGTGGTCTGATAGTATCGACTCTCGTCACATAAATTTGATGCAACAGAATGACGTGTTCTAACCTAATGGAGTTGACCCTTACGTGGAGAGTGGATTGGCTAAACTGGTTTTTAGAAAACCGGCCGCAGTTTAAAGGAATTAAGAAGAAAGTGAACTACCGGTTTTGGAGAATTGGCGAAATCGGAAGCGGGAGTTCCGCAGACCCGGCGTCGCCGAATGAATTGATGATTTCAGTCGTTTCGAGATTTATCGATTCCCGTTAATGCTTCCTTAATGATGGGTTCGATTCCATCTCTCTGGCATTTCTCATCTCTTTTCGATCATTTATTATTCCAAGTTTATTTTTCTTTTGGGCGTTTAAAACCATCGATCTTTCGGGCTTAGCGTTTATTATCTCATTTTTTTTCTTTTTCTCTGAATTTTTTCTATTTCATTGAATTATATTTTATTACAGTTTTCACCCTCTTACAAGATATGAACGAGTTATCAACACTAACAATGTTTTGATTTTTTTTCTCATTTTTTAGCGAGCTCTTATATTTCCGAGGGAGATGACACAATATATTTAATTACAATAATGCCTGTATTATCTATTATAAAACATTGTGGAGATAATGTAAGTACCATTAACCTCGAAATGTGTGGTACCTCACTGCTCTGGGGTTGAACCAAGTAGACAATTAGTCTACAGTACCCTCATTAGCCGATTCGGCTGCCGGTTGAATTAGATACCGCCATGTTAAATATTGATGGCCAATCCTGGACCAATCACAAGGCCTTAGGCACGGGTCAGACCATCGCCGAGTAATACTTGAGTATAATCCAGTCATAATTATTGTCTATTTTATAAAGTCATGTGAAAATGCGTAAGTAGTTATGTATGCTTTTTTTTAAGCCTTTTCTTTTGTTAAATCATTTATTTTTAATGTGAATCTAAGAACATAATGTGCGTGAAACAACTTCAAAGATGGTTTGTTATGCGGAATGGTAAACCTGTTGCGCCTGTCAGTATCGGAAGAATCTTTTCGTTAAAACTCGATTCATTTCTTTGCCTAATTGAAAAATTCTTTTGGTAATTTGTGTTTTCTTACAAAGGTTGTGAATTCGGTAAAAATAGCTAAATATCTACTTCGATATAGAAGTTTTAAAATAGCATCGTGGTAAATAATACCACATACTAAATAATCATTTAATGCTTAAATTTCGCCGAATATAATTTAAGTTATTTTAAATTATTGAAAAGGTTGATTAAAAACACTGAAATCTTGAAATCGCAGCTGATTAGCACATTAGTACTAAAAAGACTATTATTAAAAAGTATTTATCATAACAAATGGGATCCATCTAATGATAAATCTATTTCCGTTTAATTTTTTTACTCAATCATTAATTATAAATTAATTAATTTATTTAGTAATTCATTTATTGGGTATGTGAGAAAAATATTTCAAGGGTCATGTATTTTCAAATTAGATTAATTTATTTTTGTTTTAATATCGGTTGTTACAGATTCCTGTTTTTATGATTAATTGTTCAAGAGAAATTCGAAGTAATTAATTATTGATTCAATAAACTCATAATATTATTTTTAGTAAAAATTAATACCTAACTGATTTTATTTAGCACGACTAATTATTATTTTAACATAATATAAAGGATTTAATTTTTTTTAACAATATATTTTATTGCATAATATGATTTATTTATTTATTTTTTTATGATATGCGTTGTTTTTGGCCTTGGAAACTGTTATTGCTCATCCGTATTGATTGATTTATTTAAAATCTTTATTCACTCCAGTCTATTATTGAATAGATATCAGATTTTTATTTTTATTACAACAAATAATTTATTGCGACATATACTTAAATAACGGTTCGGTTAGAAAATAAAAGGTTTGGGTCGTAATAGAGCAATTTCCTGATAAAATAAAGGGACGACGTATCATTATTGGAAAAGCTTGACTTATAGCTTTTTTATCGTCGTTTATAATGATATTGTATAGGCAATCTTTATCGCCTTGATATAACTTTGTTTTCCAATAAACGGTATTATTGATAATTTTTTCCCAGAATTTAAGAATGAAACTGATAATATTTAATATCGTACTACCTGCCGTCTCTTTTTTAAAATATTTTTTGGTGAATAGGTTGGATTGCCTAACCGTTGGCTTGTTAAATGTTTTCACCGACATTTTGTGTTAATATAGTAAGCGGTACTTATTATTCAATGAGCCCGTTTGATGTAAATGAAGGCGTTTATACACTTTCATGACCTCGGGAAAACATTTCCTAGGTCTGCAGTGGGATTCGACGGCTATATTGTTGGTTGACATTACGCCTCGTTAGTGGGCTGCAAGGTCATTTAGTTACAGGGGAATTGTTTACGGCAAGGAAAGTTGTATTTTTAGAACATGTAACGTCAGCACCTTGCCTGGAAAGCTTTAACAATATTCATTTATTAATATTTGTATTAATTATAAATATTTATCAACGTAGTCAGGTGCGAGCTGATTCTCGGTAACTTTTTTTAAATTTAATTTAATATTCATATCGGTAAATTATAAATTGAGTTGACATTGACATTTAATTGAGGTTTATTAATCAGGTGTTTAACCTCGTGTTATGCGGCTTCGCTACCGCCTTAGATATTTCGTAACGCATTCAAGTCCCAGATGTTGCGCAAGCTGAGGCCTAACCTTATGTAAAATGTTAATCGATGGTATATAATGGACTTGCGAATCCAACTCTCCATTTTACTGAATATCCCATAATTCGCTACTTTTAATGTTTCTCCACTTTTATTTATTGACAGCATTGTTTAGAGCTATTCATAAACTAAATTTATAATGACGACATCTTTTGAATATGTGAACCGTATTACCAACGAATCGATTTAGCCTATTGATTTCATGCATATGAATCAAATTAAGTTTGTTTATATGGTATACCATCAATTTGATTTTCACAGTTATCGGTTCACAATTATGTTCCAGAAAACAAAAAAATCTCCAAGACCAAACATTTTAAATAGGCTTTTACGTCTAATTTAAAATTGCTATTCACATTGTTGTGTACCGTGGGATTTCATGTCATGTTCTTTAAGGATTACTCCTTCATGATAACGTAAAATTAAAAAAAAAATTGTAAATGATAAAATTTGAGGGTAAAATTTTTTTTGAAAATCTGAAATCCTGAAAAGGGATCGGCAGGTTAGAAACTGTACTCCTCCAAATATTTCCTGGGTTTAATCAATCTTTTAATTAAATAAAATGAGAACACGGCGTTACTAAAGATAAATCAGGCGGTTGAAGGTTCTCGTGGATACTGGAATATCAAGATTGACTTTATATACTTATTTAAATTCTTTTTTTTTATTTTTTATTAGAAATGTTAAGGTTTAGAATTTTTTTTATGACTTTATCGTATTCACATTAACTTAGGTAACTTATTTAGAGAAGGTTATAGTATTATGAGTTATTTTCAGAGCCTCCAGAGGAAAAAAAAAAAAACAGGATCAAATAACGTGATATTTTAATCAGAAACCAAACGAGTCTGCTATTGACACTTATTATTAAGACTTGGAGCTTTTGGACGAAGGGGAACTCGTACCACTATCAATATACTTTTTTCTGTTCTCCTTCTTTAGGCTATTCGTCTTCTATTAACGGAGGAATAAACTTCGTGACGTGAAAACAATAATAATAGACATAAATAATTTAATTGTTTCCTGTCTTTAAAAGGTATTAATTGTTTTTTATTAAAGGGAATACATTTTATATATTTATTTTAATTTTTAAGCATATATTTTTTTCTCTAATTGACTATAGATTTATTCAGTTCTCTTCCAGTTGAGGTGTGACATTTGAATCTTATTTTCTTTTCCCTTACTGGAGTTTCCGTCAATAAACCTCGTCAGCGGCTATTGGAAAGTCTACTGGGATGAAACCGCGGGGGGAGGGGCTGATTAGATTGAACCCCCGTCGAATACCCCAAACGTTTCCTGCTAAAACCTCTCCCCAGCCTTGAATGGTGTATTTATCTAATGAAGTGCCATTCTTCAAGGGCGGAAGTCATCCCTCAGTGGTTTCAATTTTCTGTCCCCCTTTCCGGTTTTTAGGTTTGGCAACTCTTCTTGAAGAGTTCATTATGAATTAGCGGATCTATGGCTTGGTAAATCAGTAGCCAATTTATACGGCTTTGTAAGGTGGCGATGAAAAGCTATTTATTTAAGAAAGGCCACTGAGGAATTATTTTAAATAAATATTAATTATGCTCAACCGAAGTATTTTAAAAATAAAATCCGTTTCATTAGTTAATTAATTTTCGTAATAATTGAAGAAAAATATTTTAATTCAAGTTTTTAAATTCCAGAAAATGCATTTTATGTTGAAGTTGAAAGTTAAAAAACAAAAAAAAATAAAATTATTGGTAGTGTTTTGCAATTTTTCATCATTTATATACTCATAAACCTTGACATCGTTAATAAGTACTGTTAATTAAAAAAAAAAATTAGCTGAAGGATTTAAAAAGAAAAATGAAAAGCGTTAGATGCTCACTTGGCTGAAGGCCTTGATTTCAATTTTTTCAAGTTTAGGTAAAAACACAAATTTAAGTATATGAAAATATATACTTTTTGGAAAGCCGTTTACTTCTTACTTATTTGGAGCAACTAATATTTTATCTTTCTGCCTTTTAAGTTCCCTGATTCCTAATTTTTTTTCAGGTTATTTTATTTTTCAAAATACTTCTTGTGTATTAATGAAAGCATTTATTTTTTTTATATATGATACATATCATGGCAACCATGTAATGTATAACGAAATAAAGAAGTTAAACAATTTGTTTTCACTACAACAGGCTATACTGTTGTAGCCCCCTGGACGAACTAACTACGTAATGTGGTCGAAACGCTGGTTATAGAAAAAAAAATTATTCTACTTTTTTTCTTAGTATATTTTCCTTCGACTCCCAAATAAGAAATTTTCGCGTGTTCATTTTTTAGCATTGAAGACGTTTCTTAGTGGTACAGACAGAAAGAGTGCAAATAAATAATTTTCGATTTTTTTTTCAATTATTTTATTCAAGACACTTGTACCAATTATATACATAAGAAATATCCACATTTATTAAAATGAATACAAGACGATTTTTCTTATTTTTAATAAAATGTAAGTTTTTACGGTCTTTGAAAAAATCGGTCTACAGATATATCCCATTTATGCCGTTAAACTGCTTTTAATTTACACTGTAAAACTCCTGTTATTTTCAGTTAATACAAAAAAACGAATCTTTGAGACTTTATTCAATTAACGATTGACAATTGCTAAATTGATTTAAACTAAATAAAAACTGCTCTCTGTTTTTATATAGGCATTTAATTTTTTTCGCTTGGTCAGTATACCTTTTTTAATGTTAATTTTTTTTTATTCATTATTAGATAGTTATGTTGGGAGAGTTCTCTCCTCTGCCTGAGGCGTAGTTAAGAAGCTGTAATGAACTGAGAAATATATATATATATATATATATATATATATATATATATATATATATATATATATATATATGTATATATATACTAATAATTTCTTAATTCATTACAGTTTCTTAACTACGCCTATATATTTTTTTTTCTTTTTTCGCCATTCCTTTTATTTTTAATACAGCTTTTTAAAGTAATAAGGGTTTATTTTTATTGAAAAAATATACGGTAACAATAAGGAAAGAGCAGGTGGGCATTAATTTGTTTAATGGTAGCCAGGGGGCGTGGTGTGTTGACCCAAATGGGGTTACGCCCGTATCTCATCCGTTCGATAATCCAGCCTCCATTAGAAGCCGTCGGTCAGTCTCTTCGAATAGGCTTTTGTTTACTTTTTTTCTCCTCTGCACTGTCAATCTTTAACAACATTAATAATGCCGGTTTATTATTTTAATCGATCTAAGAAGTATATTGTACAATTTCGATCCCGTTCTGATTTGTTGGCGTATGAACAATAACAATAATTGGCGGCGTTCCTGGTTTATACTTCTTAAATATAAACAAACTTTTTAAATTTTATTTCTCAAGATAAACTTTTTAATTCCTTATATTTAAAAAAAAAAAATATTTTCTTTCTCGAATTATCTGACATAAAATATTATGTTTTCCCCCTTGTATTGTATTAAATAGTCTAACTAATTAGTAGAAAAACCTTTTAATTTGTATCGCGTAGTATAGGTTTTAATGATACATCTCCGCCATTACACCATTTACCTTAGTTTCTTTTCTGGACTGATACACCGGGTTCCCTATCTTAAAAATGCCTTGTTTTAATTCTTTTTTTCTTTTTTATTGTTTTCACAGGCTAAAGTAAATAGAAAAATATTTTGATTATACATTATTTTAATGGGTTCATTTTCGAGCACGTTTAATATTAAGGCAAACAAAAATAAAAATAATTGTTAACACCTAGTAATCGCTATAGAAATGGCCATTATTTAGGAACTTACATAATTTCAATTTTCCATGTTTAATATATATATATATATTATACAAAAATGCTATGATCTTAAATTGTATTTTTTTTTTTCAATCCATATTCAATCTCTTCAATTTCTCAGATTGCAAGAGCATAAAATTTATATTACAGAGTATATAAATATATAATATTGCTATATATATTCATCTTATTATGCCTTAATATAACTACAATAGAACCAGTTGATGGATTTTATGGTCGCTTTCCTGGATGGTAAAAATCATAGCATTTAGGTATTGCGGGTTTGCCTACCCGGTTGCCTTAGAGACGAATACTACGTCCCACTTACTTTATTGTTAATATTTTTATTTATAAAAATATTAGCTTACATTAATTATATTTTTCGTTTAGAATATAGAGTGGAACAAAAAATATATTAAGCCTTACATAAAAATAGAAGTAATTTTGGCTTTGTATGAGAGAAAGAAACCTTTTTCACAAAAAATATAATTTTTTTCACAAGACTTTTTTGTTCTTTAAATAAATGTAAATTTTAGAAAGATCATTTATATCCTAAATATATACATACATCGTATTCTACACACATGAAAAACTTTAACTTCTTACAAAATAATAATGTTAATGAATATTTGTAATTTCTTTATGAATGATAGTAATTTCCTCGAAATATTTCACAAAACTAGGAAATGTATTTTACATAAAAGAATGTATTGATATTTCAAAATAAATGAATTTGTATTCATACGTATTCAATAACGTAAAATCATGTTTTTTATCATTTAAACCGAATGATTTATAATAATATAAAACATATATTACACGACCACAAATAAACAAAATAAGATGTTTTTAAATAAATTGATAGATATTCCTAATTTATAATAGATAATAAGGAAGTTCAATATCGCTTCAAGCTAATGATTTGTAGTAATAAATAAAAATAAAATAAACCATGACTTCTCAATGCATATAAAAATATATATGAATATTGCAATAATATATGTAAATTTATAGTAAACTTATAATTCTCTGGAGGTGGAAGCTACTGCAACATTATAGAATCTCTACATAAAACTTTATTTTTGATATTTTATTTTACATTTAACACATACCGTTTTTAATTTTTTTTTCTTTCTATTATTTGAAGATTATAATAGTTTAATTTATCTATTTCTCTTTTCACTAATAGTTTATAAATACAAGGTAACTTTATGTTTTCAATTTACTTCAGGCTTACTTTTAAAAAATGATGAATTGTTATTAAAAGAAAAATAAATGTATACTTTAAGTTGACAATAATAACAAATGATTTCAAAAGGGTTTTGTACCAATACGAAATTTTATTTGTTTTTTAAAAGCTATTTCACAAAATAATTTTTATGATTTTTTTTTCCCGATTTTACGAAGTGTTTAATATTGAAAAGTAAAAACCCTTTTGAAATAATTATTTTTATTGAAGGTAGAAAAACTTATATTAAGAGATCGCTCTTAATGTTGTTAACTCCTGAAGCGGGTAGCCGATGACCCATCGAAGATCATCGCTACCTGAGTACTTCCTATCGGATGTTGCCCTTACCTTGGAAGTTGGTGAGGTGACTTGCACGTATTTACGCTAGCGTTGAAGTATTGAAGGAATGGTAGATGTACCGTGAACTGCGGACGTCACACTTGACACTGAGCCCAGAGCGGGCCCGGCAGTATTTTATAGCGCGCACCCCCCACCCCATCGCCCCTGCAAACAAGGTCGCCCCTCCCCTCCATCCCCTAGCCCGGGGGTCCTTTGGGATCTTCTTCCCGACCTTTGTATGCACTATTTCCACCAAGTTTGTGTCTTTGTCTTAGGCAGAGCCCCTCCGACTCAAAAGGAAAAAAAAGAAAAAAAATGGATTACAAACGAACAGCTTCATACTCAGTTGGAGTTCGTTTCTTCTTAGTAGGAATGTGCTTTCTGTTGGGTTCTTTTCGATTCAAAGTAAAGCACTACTTCTTTGATCACTGAAAATAACTTGCTAAGTCTAAAAATTTTCCTGATGAGCCATGTGTAAGGTACGAATTTATATGCACCATTGAAATAAGTAAATAGTGACTTTGGTACTACTGTCCAAATGTCATTCCACTTTCATGGGTGGCTCAAGATCTTATGATGACGCCATAAAATGTATCCTGAGAATGGCCGAAAGTGACCAAACCTTCTGTACCGGACCTCAACTGAAATGTGCCTCTTGGAGTTTGTTTATCCCCGAGCGGAAGACGAAATCAGCGATGTAATTAAATCTAATTAACGTAATAATTTCAAATTAAAATGACCTGTAAGGAATTTAGAGAAGTTGTAACTCACGATCTAAATAAAAGGATATGATACTGTTAGTTTCAAATCATTCCTCGACTATTCTCGAAATCTCATTTATTGCATGTTCATACGATCTTGGCCTCCTCGTCGAAGTGGAATGACACTTGTTCAGTGGTAGCAAGCCTTTATTCATAATAATACAAAATACTACTTTTCTTATTTTTAAATTAATTAATTAATGATCTTACTATTTACACTTTTGTTATTTACCATTTTGTATAATATTTCGACTCCTAATACAGACTTTCCTAGTAGAGACCACCAAGAGGGATATAGTCTTATTTTTCTTGATTAAATGATATTGATAATTAATAATTCATTAAGTTTAATGTTAGTTAACTAAATTATAACTTTAATGCGAAAACATTACATGCTTTTTTCTCAGATGAGAATGTACAATATCTTAGACCTATCTTGGACTTACTTTTGACAGAAATTATTTTTTCAATAATAATTTTTTTTTTAATTTTATGTTTTATTAGTCTTAAACATTGCTCAGCCCGGGTTCGAAATGGTCTAAATAGCCTACTGACGGGGGCCAATCATTTACGTTTTAAAAAAAAGAAGTAAAATCTTGAAATTTTGGGATGATATTAATTGAATTTGGTGATACATCAAACTGTATCTTTTAAGATTTGTGCCGGAGAAGTACTACCTTATTAAGTTTCCATTCAAAATAAAACGGTCTGCACTTGGGTTCTACTACATTCGTTATCAGGACACTTACAACTGACTTTTGCTTTCATTGGAATGAAACATGATTTTATCATTTAAAGTGTAATTGGTAAAAGCTAGAAATATAATTAACATCTTGTCAAATATTAATTTACATACTCATATACGTGAATTTTATTAATTAAACAATTTACTCATATTCAAATAAATTAATTAAATAAAAAATAAATAATAATGAATAAATTTAACCCACTGGTGCACAAAAATAAAATGTTGGCAAAATATGCAAATTAAAAATTCGTCAAAAGATTCAGAATTTGTTTCTTAAAGGCATGGAGTCATATTTTAAAAAAAATCATAAAAAACATTTGCTATTGAATGCAATTCCGGGCATTAATGATGTGTATTTTGGTGAGATTAGGGTTTATGTATTTTTGGATATTGTAGTTGAATATTTATTAAATTGAATATAATAATTTTTATTTCTTTTGTATAAAACTTTATTCTTAATTCAATTGTCTATTATCAAACCTGTTTGGGCAGAATAGGCCTGATATGGCCGCGGTGCATTTTGCCATTAAAAAACAAAAAAAGAACACATTAATTTTCACCTGTCAACTGTATGTTGTTAACAATCTGAAAATGAGATGACTGTACATGATATGTAATATGTGAGGTATGGGAAAGGACAGTACCCAGCAGCACCTCCTACATGGCTCATTTCAATTACTTCGTTTCTTTGAGAAAGGGAATGTCAGCTGTAGTCGTGTATTTCATTAAACCGTTGCTAAGTCCGTTTAAATTTTGATAATGTTGTTGATAAAGGATGAAGATCGGTATTGTTAGCGCCGTATCAATGAGATTTTGTTATGAGTTGTAATAATTTTAATTGGAAGGATTGAAGGATATTTTTGGCGAAACAGTATATTTGTGATGAGTATGTCCATGTGAGTTTTAATTTTTTAATATTACATTGCGTAAAAGTGAGCTCGATAACGAATTAAGCAATGTTATTATATTTACTTATTATTTATATCAAAATGATATATCGCTGGTTAACTTCAGAGATGTTGAAAGGAACGATTTATAAAGCAGTTGAAAATGTCTTATCTAAGTCTTCACAAATCTTTTAAGTGTACATCAAAAAGTGTACATGTAATAAGGGCCAAGTATACTAAGGAAATTACTGGATGCATTGAAATCTTTATTATTTTTTTATCTTTTGTTTTTTCAAAGAGCACATTAACAGTCTATTCATAATAAATAATACAGAAAAATAATATTACTAAAAGTAAATGTATATAAACTAAACGAAACAAAAAGAAACTAATCTGATGAAAATAACTACTCAAATGCAAACATGCTTCTGTACAATGTCAAGGGGCCAAGCCTTTCTTTGCACTCGTGGAAGGAAAGGCAGGATTCTAGGAGATCCCTGCGCCCCTCACTCAGCCGCACTACTGGTATTATAGACCAGTAGAGTCTGAGCAGAGGCCCTATAATCTCACATACATGACTAGAGTAAAGAATCTGGCCATTGCCAAACTCCATTCTGGCCACTGCCGCTTCAGTCTTCGAGGAGGATTGTAGGAATGGGTGGTGCTGGATAGGGATTGTTCAAGGGGATTTGGATGATAGGTAAGGTTCTAGTGAAATTTTCGAGGATAAGGTCTAGAGCAAATGGGATATTTAGGTCATTGTGTAGGGTTTCGTTGGTTACATAAAATGAAGCATCAACTATTGTTCGAAGGACTTTAGATGTTAGAAAATTTTGCTGTTCCCCACAGTTCAAATACCTTTAATTATAAATTTTCACTTACTGTTACTGGTATAGTACTCAAAAAGACTTGAAAGAAGGACTTTGCTAATAAACTCTGATCCTTTACCAATCAATATAAATTCAAATTCCTTGAACATCCTCTCTGTCAATGCTTTCAAGACATATTATTCATGTCATATCTGTAATTATGTCACTAACCAATTATAGTATGCTATTGTTGCTTTCATTCATAAGTTGAACGTCTCGCGTCCGATTCACACGTGAGATTACTTCCATTCAATTTTTTTTTTCTGTTGGCAATACAGACCTTGTTGATCTTTTGCCGCATTAACAAGCCTACTTCATTTCTACCTTTCTTGGGCTATTTCTTTCCAGTTATCTGCGCGCAGCTCTATTGTATCTTTGTTGATTCCATTTATCCATCTTCTTTTTGGCCTTCCGTATGGTCTTTTGCCTGCTATTGAGGCATTCATTGTCGTTTATTGGTTTCCAGATGGATTGCTGACGGATGCTAAGTATTTAGCATTTTATTATTGATATGTATTTTAATCCCAGTATTTATTGAAATTGTTTTTATATACCTTTAGTTACTGTAAAAGCAATATATAACTGCTCAGAAAAATAATTAAAAAATCTTATTAATTAACCATTTTCAAAAGCACCATTAAATATTGCAACTATTTCCTACGTTATACGTTTTTACTATTTCAAAAATAACATTCCTTTGATTATAAACAAGCAAATAATTTAATTTTATTGCTTCAAATATATTTTTTGTTTGTAAAAACGTATTTTGAACTCATTGTACATACTTAGAAATATATAAATATAGTCACTGATAAAACACAAGGAGAAGAACCGTACATAAATAAACTTTGTAATAATAATAATCTGATGAATTTGGAATCATGGATGCTGCAATAGTAAAATATTTCAGTTAACTGTCGAGTTGTAGGGGGCCGCTGCGGAATAACTGTTTTTGTTAGAACGTTAAACCAACTTGCCTGATTTTAGTGTCACGAATATATGTCAAGTTTTAAAGGCGATTATTTACACAGTCATTGTGTTTAAGTTCATTAAGTATTACATAAATTAAAGCAATTTTAAACTGTTGCATTTATTTAAGTCATATCTTATATATTTTTTATTTTCAAGTGCGCTTCTACTCGTTAAATCAATTTTATATTCCCATATATCGTTTATTTTAATGATCGAATAATATTTATTTTCTCGACTCATGATCAATTATTGCTGTACCCTATCTTTACCTCAGTAAGAACACCATGTCCATTTTTGAATTTGTTTAGGGGAACGAATTTTCTATAACTTTGAGCTATCAAAATTTGTTTCTTAATTACTAAATTATTTTATATATTTCATTTAATAATTTTCAGCTAAACGCGATGAAAATTCAGGCCAATATTGTAGGTTTCAGTATTTTCTTAAATCCATCACCTTCCTTCCTCCTTTAGTCATCAACGATCACCCCATTCAGCTCCTCCGTTAAAAACCTAGGAATCATCATTGACGAAAACCTCTCCTGGAAACCCCATATCGCCCTCACCTCCAGAAAGTCAATAGTTACTCTTAAGTTATTTCATCGCTCCCATCACCTACTACCACAATCTATCCGCAAGCTCCTTGTATCCTCTCTTATTTCCCCGCACTTTGACTACGGCTGTGTGGTGTACGGAGGCTCGGACGGTACTCGAGGATAGATTAAGCGAATTATGAATTCCTGCTTAAGATTTTTCTTCGGTACTTCGAGGCGGTCTCATGTGTCTCGCCTTTTCGACGAGTTAAAGGGACACTTTCCTTCTTCCCGTCAACAATATTTCCTTGGATCTTTCCTATTCCAAACGATCAACACCCAACACCT